ATGAGGGATGCAAAGAAAATGAGGCTGAGTCAGAGGGCCTCCCTGATCTGAATCTGAATGGAAGGACCTGCCAGTAACGAAGCACTGGATGGGAAGAGAATGGTGCACTGCTCACTGAGCTGTGTCCTGCCCCAAACTGAGCTCACACACTGGCATGGCTGGCTGTGGGTGGAGCTGACAATGAGGTAATGAGGGTTAAGTGAGATCACAAAAATTAGCCTTTGAGGTATGACTGTCTCCCTTATAAGGAAAGGAAGGGACCCTAGAGCTTTCTGCACACACATAGCACAGGTTGAGCAGTCCGCTGTCTCCAGGTGCAGTGATTACCTGCTCAAAACCTGGCTGCATGGTACCCTGACCTCACACTTCCCACCCTCAGGACAGGCAGAAGATAACTGTCTGCTTCTTAAGGTGCCAGCCTGTGGTGTGTCGTATCCCAGACATCTCCATCCCAAGAAGATCCCCAAGGAATAGCACGAGTAAAGTCAGGGCGCTGCTGTCCATGGAGCACAGAGCATTCTCAGCAGCCGCATGCAAAGTGAAGTGACTCCAAAGGGCAGATCAGAGAGGCCCTGGTGGGAGCCAAGTCAGGAGCCACAGCAGAGCGGGGACCAAGCACACGGAGAAAGGAAGCAAGGGCAGCTGGAGAAACAGGTAGCTCACTAGGAACCAACCCAAGCAAGGCAAGTTGCTGGGTGAACAAAAACAAGTAGATTGGTCGGGGGAGACAGAGTGGATCAAACTGCTGATGTGTTGGAGGTTGGGTGCATGGAGTCAGCAGGTAAGACAGTCTCACTGGGACAACTATACCAGCACAATGAGAACACAGAAGTACTGGCGGACTGAACAAAGAACGTGTCACTGATGATCTTGAGAACAGCAACTTCAGTGCAATGTTGGACAAGTAGAATAGAGGATGGGAGGGAGTAGCACTGTGGCACTACAGGCGAAGCCACCGTCTGTGATGCTGGTGTCCGTGTGGGTGCCACTTCATGTCCTGGCACTTCAGATACAGCTCCCTGACAATGGCCAGAGAAAGCATCAGATGATGGTCTAAGTGCTGAGGCCCTCCAACCTACGTGGGAGACTCAGATGAAGCTCCTGACTTCCGGCTTTGGCCTGGCTCAGCTCTGACAGTTGCGGTCATCTGGGGAGTGAAGCAGTGGATGGAAGACTGAGCTTCCTTCCTCTGTCTCTCTCTCTCCCACTCTCTCTGTAACTCTGGCTTTCAAGTAAATCTTTTTTAGAGAGAGACTAGAAATAAGAAAGAGGAGAGAGTGACTATGGAGAATTCTTATGAAAACATTTACTGTGAAAATTGAGTTTTAAGGGAAGGAGTTTGACAGAAAAAAAAAGAAACAAAAAAAAAAGCCCATGTTAAAGTAAAGGCAGAAACACTTAAAACAATGCACACACATACACATGCAAAAAAGGATCCTAATATACATATAGTGTAAAACCATTTGGTAATAATAGTGATAGTAATATTTTAAAAGGGCATGAGGGCAGGGATGTTGGCTCCATTGGCTAATCCTCCTCTGTCAAGTGCTGGGATCCCATATGGGCACCAGTTCTTGTCATGACTGCTCCACTTCCCCTCCAGCTCCCTACTTGTGGCCTGGGAAAGCAGTCGAGGACAGCCCAAAGCCTTGGAACCCTGCACATGTGTAGGAGACCTGGAAGAAACTCCTGGCTCCTGGCTTCAGATCAGCTCAACTCCAGCCTTTGTTGCCATTTGGGGAATGAACCAGCACATGGAAGATCTCTCTGCTTCTCCTTCTCTCTGTTAAAAAAAAATAAAAACAAGATCAATAGATATACACATAAACATATGCACATATATTTATCTAAAGGAACTGTATAATGGAGACTATCATATTATGAAGTAAAGATACATTGCCGTATGCATCTCTACTCCCGAATGAAAGATGGACTCCTAATGAAACTCTTAAATATCTCTTGACTGAATTAACAATGTCATTTTACACTTAAATTGTAGAATGATGGATTTATGACTGTTGTTGAAGGACTGTACTATTGTAATGATATTGAGGAGAGCAGAGAGAGTGGGAGGGGAAATCCCTGAGCCTGTGGAACTGTATCAAGAAAAACTTAAAAAATAATAATAAAAAAAAATGAAAAAGAGAATGTTAGAAGATATGAAAGCAGAAATTTAGAGCAAATACTTTACCCTGGAGTAATTATGATACAAATTGTGGTATTTGTTTAAAATGGAGTAACAAGTTGTCATTAGGCAAAAGTTTACAGTTGTCACAGAGAGGTCAAACAATGAATCAGTAGATGACAACGAAAAGCCTTTGGAGAAGAGTTGGGCGAGAACTCTGAGCATTTAAAGAAATAGAGATACTTTTTTTCTCACTCTTTTATTCAGTGTTCCTTTCAGTGTTTTTTTTTTTCTACTTTTCTTTCTTTAAATTTCTGAGGATAAGAATCATGTTTGGCTTATTTGCTATCTGGAAACATAAAACGACAATGCAGGGCGAGGCAGGGAGAGCAGAGAATCTAGTGGTAAACTGTTTAGGAGGGACCTTTCCAGAGAGAGGGAGAAAATAAAAGGATTGAAAAAGGTGTGATAGGCAAAGTAGTCATGGCATTGTCACTGTTGGTGAGGAGGCGGGAGACAAACGTAAATGGCGCAGTTTTCACGTGGGGGTGGGGTTAGAAGAATATGGAAGCTTGGATTGCTTGAGGGCAGAGCCCAAGAGGCAGCACCAGGTCATGCAGCCTGACTGACGAGGTTTGCGGTCACAGGCTGCTGCCCTGATTCTAGTTACGGAACACGGAAATACCAATAACCACGTGTCTTAGACTTGTTGCAGCTCTTGGGTGAACGAGGACACACAGGTGTTTACAACAGTGCTCGGCATTGAAGCAGTCAACATCATCATGTGTCAGTGCCATTGCCTCAAACTGTACAAAGGCAGAAATAGAATTCCAAGGGAAAATTGCCAAATCAACAATCTTAGTAGATTAAAAAAAAACTTGCCTCTCTTACTAAGTTAAATTCATTTGGAAATGCCTCCAGTCACTGTCAGACAGCTGATTTACCTTGAAAGTCATAACCAAAAAGCCCTTAGTGTAGCTAGAGATGCAAGCTACATAAGAAAAGTACAAACTAGACTACAGCAAATGAAAAACAACCAGAGACCATAAACACTAATATGACTGAAGTTAAACTAGGCATGACCATAAATGTAAATGACTTAAATTGATGTGTCAAGATGCAAAGAGGCTTAGATCATATTAAATTGATGTTTTGATAGTTACAAGAGAAAGTACATAGAAGAGCAACAATGGACTAAAGGAAAGCGAACTGAAACATCCAGAACTGTGAATAAAAATGTGTTCCAGGCAGCACTTATATCGTGAAACTAGCTTAGGAGGTAAAATTATAACAGCATTGTACCTTTAGGAACTGAATGATGTGGTAATATATTTTTTAAATACACAAAATACCCCTCTAAAACATCTTAAATGCACAAAAATCTTTGAGATAAGTGACAATAAATAGATATCTCATAAACTTTCACTGACTTGATGAAATTTTATAACCACACAAGGCATATAAACTAAACTTGACACTTGCATACATCTACATTTGGAATTTGTTTCTAAAAGTCCAAAAGAGGATCTAAATGCCATCCCTTGCTGACTGACTACCTCGGTTTAGCTGGGTGCTCTCTTCATGGAGCAGCTGGCATGGGCATTGTGAATCGGAAGATGAAGAGCAGAGAGCTCTAAGGCCTGTGGTTCATTCAGACTCACCATGAGCATCTAGGAACCTGGTGGACCTCCTCTGGTCCTTCCTGGTGGCAGAGGCAGGTGGGCATGTGTCAAGAGCCTGTACAATGTTGGGAGGCAGCCAGGGAACACGGAACCCTCCTGTAATGGCAAAAGGGAGTTTCCCAGAGGTTCTTGCTGACTCGGGAGCCCCTTACTCAACTAGAAGATGATCTTTGGAACATGGGCGCACTCACAGGAACTTGCAAAGCAGAAAAACCGGGTTCCCTAATGGGACCTTCTCGTGCTTTTCCCTGTGGAGATGCTTTGGAGCTGAAGTCTGAGTCTGTTAGCTGATTCCCACGCACACCATCAGCATCCTCTGGAGCACAGTGCTGGGGAGAGTCAGGCTGGGGAACTCAGCAGCAAGCGGCCCTGGCAAGAGAGAATCTCCCCCATGGAGATGATACGCAGATCCCCGTCTCTTTTCTCAGCTCCAGAGCGGTAACTCCCATTCCTTGGCAGGACTAGATGCTGCTGCACAGGCATTGCTGAAGGTGCAGAGTGTGGGCACAGGAAAGAGTGGGCGCAGGTCATTGGAGTCATTGGCCATTTGGTGTCCCAGCAGTCCAGGGGTGTTCAGCCCAATCTCTCTCCCTTCTTGATGGCACCAATAATCTGTCTGTCATCCATGCCCAGGGAAGTGTGTAAGGAACTGTTGGGCTGGCCACACTCATGTTGACCAGGTTCCAAGCTGCCAGGTCTTCACAGAGATGCACTTTATTACACTTCTCGGTGGCTTACTGCACAGGAAAGCATTTGTGGACATCGTTTTTTACTTTCTCTTTGGAATTCTTACAACTGTCTTCTTCTTCCCACTTTATTCTGACATGGGACTTTCAGCAAATTTACTATAAATTCTTAAATCCTTACCACTTTTGCAGTTGTGCCAAATGACCAAAGAAAAAGGGGGGTGGTGGTGTGGAGATAACAAATTATTAACATGTTCTCAAAGTAGATTGCATGTGACCAAGAGCTTTGACTGGTAAAGACTGAAGGTCAAGAATTTTTAACTTCAGTGTGAATAGACTAAAGACGTGATGACAAGCTTCAGGTCACTGGGTGGACTGCCCAGTAAGATCTTCCTGCCAGTATAAAGAACTTGCTCCCCAAAATTGATGACACAGCCTCATGGCTACTGGGGTTCTGCTGTCCCAGTCTTGGTGTTCACATGGCATCTCTTCTCTCTCTGCTTTCAGGTAGAAATTGAGAAGCTGGATTATCATCATTATCTGCCTCTGTTTTTTGATGGGCTTTGTGAAATGACATTTCCCTATGAGTTTTTTGCTCGGCAAGGAATCCACGACATGCTGGAACATGGGGGGAACAAGATTCTACCTGTCATTCCACAGCTCATTATCCCGATAAAAAGTAAGTGAACAGGTGAAAAACCATCACCCACCTTACCTGGTCCCGCTTTTTGACAAGTTGCTAATGAAGCAGTAAAGCACAGCAGACCGAAGCAATCCCCAGGTTTTGCAGGGATTTTTATTCATTGACTCGGGAAGCCAAAAACCCAGATCTTCAAAAACACATCCCATCATTGAGATCGCCCCATAGCTTAGCCGCATAAATCACTTAAATTGCATAGGGTCTGTGCCAATCTAAAACTCATCAAGGCAACAACACAAGCATTAATGGTAACTTACATACTCAGGGGTGAAGTGTCCCTATGTGCACGCACTGCTGTTAATTTCCAACTCCTTTTCAAATGGCATCCCAAATTCTTAGAATGGAGATGTAATTGTGTTGCATGCCTTACACCTTATAGGATTGATAATTTTAAGAAAATGATACATCTAGAATAGAGAAAAATTACTGTTTCCAGAAACACCAAGTTGTTGATCTACAATGGGTTGCTTATGATGACTCTGGGGTCACCCCAACATTGGCTTGATCTGTCTGTGAAGTAGGCTGAGTCCCCTTGAACGGGTTGTCTGAAAGAGTGGTCCACGGAAGCATTGCTGAGATTATCTTCTTCTTCCTTCTTTTTCCTTCTCCTCCTTCTTCTTCTCCTTCTTCCTCCTCCTCCTCCTAACTATTTATTTATTTGGAAGAGTTACCGAGGGTGAGAGGCACGGGGTCTTGCATCCACTAGCTCACTCCCCCAGATGGCTAGAACTAAGCTAGCCCAAAACCAAGAGCTTCATCCAGGTCTCCCATGTGGGTGGCAGACACTGGGGCCATTTTCTGCTGCCCTTCAAAGCCATTGGCAGGGATCTGGAGCAGAAGTAGAACAGTTAAGACACAAACCAACAGCCACGTAGGATACCAACATTGTAGACAGTAGCTTAAGCAGCTTTAGCTTAACTCCCATTCGCCTTGCTGCCAGAGCCACGGATGGCCCTTTTATTACAGCTCCCATGACCATCCCAAGCTTCTACCTGGGTGAATGACAGCGTTCCCACAGATATGCTCAGGCCTTGCCCATCATGCCCTGCTACTGTTGGAACTTTTCACCTGCACACAGTGCTGCTGCCAGTTAGAAGCAGGGAGTCTGGGGCAGTCATCTGGCTTAGTGGTTAAGGCTACGATATCTCATGTCAGAGTTCCTAGGTTCAATACCCAGCATGGTTGGTAAGCACCCAGGGAAGTAGAGGTGAGGGCTAGTAATTGAATCCCTGCCACCCACATGACAGTTTTGTGTTGAATTTCTGGCTCTGGCCTTCAGCCGGACCCAGCCCCAATGACTGGCAGCATTTGGGAAGTGAACTAATGAGTGTAAGCTCTTCTTTTTCCTGTCTTGTGTCACTTGTCAGAGTGTGGTTTGTCTAATCCTGTCTATAGTCCCCTATCACAGATTTGAATTAAACCACACTAACACATGATGTTTGCAGCTGTTCCGATCTCACTGCTTACATTTAATCAGCTTTGAAACTTGCTCTCACACCTTCTTCAAAATCTCTGTAGTGACCCACCACCACTGGCCAGGTTGTAATCCCACTGTGGCATGGAGAGCTGGACCAAAGAGAAGGACAGGCTATAGCTAGGAAACAGAAATGATCCCTTAAAGTGACCTTTCCACAGCAGTTGTCCCTTCCCGTGTGTGTCAGCTGAGGGCAAGGCCGACTTCTGCCACTCTTGCAGGAGTATTTGCAGTGCTGCACGAGAGCTCCTTTAAGCATAATTCACTGTCGGTAATGGATTGTTGAATATGTTGGATTCTAGCCGGGATGCTTCCAATCTAGATTTCTTTTTTAATTTTGATTTTTGTTTATTAGAGAGACTAACAAGTACACAGAGAACTTCCATCTGGTTCTTTCCCCCAAATGCCTGTGACAACAGAGGCTGGACCAGGCCCACAGCTCAGAGCTGGAAAGCCGACCCAGGTCTGCCAGGCTGAGGGGCAGAACTCAGCCACTGACTCCCAAGGTCTGCATTAGCAGGAAGTGGCAGTAAGGAGCCAGAGCTGGGACTCAAACCCATTTCAAGATGCCATCTGAACTGCTAGCATGAACTTCTGCTTACACACACACACACACACACACACACACACACACACACACATTCCAGATGCCACATTTGTCAAAGATGATGGACAAGTTTCATTGGTTAACAGAAAATGCCCTGGAACAACCTGTCCATTTCTTCCCACACCTGTTGGAATAGCAGCACTGTCTGTTTCTGCCTTTCTTTCACTAAATGCTTCATGACAGGGTCCCTGCTTTCATGGGTGTCTCCCCCCAGGCCCCTTTGAAGACACTGAGGTAGTGCTAAGCAATGTATGTATTATGCTATTTATAGGCCAAACTAGACTACCGCGAACCAAGGGTTTTCAGGGTTTTTTTTCCTTTGATCTATATTTTGGAGATATATAAAAGTTGAGACCGAAATGATGTGTGGTAAGGACAAAGCTTGCAGCACACACCTAGGAGAGGTCACTTGCTGATGAGTGAGTGCATGATTAAGAACTCCATAAACTTGATTAGTCAGGGAGAATTAGCTGCATATGGATTTAGTGACATGAGGTCCCAGCAGCAGGGCTGACTTGCCGTGGTGGGGACCAAGAGGCAGCTTCCCAGCTTCCGCTGTTACCTGCTCACCCTGACCCCAACACTGCAACTTGGTTCTTAGTCTGCCAGGGTCAGCAAAAGTCCACCTGACCTCAGGAGGATCTGCTCATTAACTGCATGAGACCACACCCAGTTACAGAACTGTGGGAAAGCACGAATGCCGAGACTCGAGCCTCCCAGGTGGAATTCTGGAATGAGGTTAATCGAACCAGGAGCAGGATGGCGTACAAAACTGGGTGTCTTATTTACATGCCATGCCATTAAGATAATTTTGACCCTGCCCAGGGGCAAACTTAACCTCAGCACCCCAACTAGCATGTAGGCAGTATGTCTGAGAGCACAGCAAAATCCGTCACCTTGCTGTGAGCAGAGCTGGGCTTAGCTGACCGTGTATTTCTTATCCCGTGGGTTAAACTCAGTAAATGATCAGGCAGATGCTACTGGAATGAGATGTGGAAGAAAGAGAAGTGGGGTGGGTAAGGAGAGGGACGCTTCTGATTTCCACTTTCTTGAGTTATTCAGGGTCCCAACTCCAACATGATGCTGGCATATAGTGGTGAAGAACAGTCATGGTGTACTGACTGCCCGGAGCGGCAGTGGAACCTGGGGTTGGCTGGGTGCTGAGCAAAGAAGAAGCCTTGTTGCCATCTGTCACAGGACAGTGCGTTTGCAGTTATCCTATCCAGCAAAGGACTAAATCCCATCTTAACTTAGAAGAGCAATACCAGGAGTTGTCAGATTTGCCATCCACCAGAGAAGGGAAAGTATTTGCCAACTGTTGTAAACGGGCCTTTATTGGGGGGGGGGGGGGGATGGGAGAGAGTTCGTTCTCGGGCCTTTCCTCTGCGCAACTGAGTGGCACAGAGTGTGAGCTGTGGAATGAAAAGGCGGTCAAAGGAGCGTGCAGGAGATTTTTATACTCCTCCTGACCACCGGAAGCTGGAGTAGGGCCTGCTCTGATCCTTATTAGGCAAGGAAATGCTAGCCCAAGCTCATCATTGGTCTGTCAGGGCTCCCCTGTCCTGGTGCTGTGTCGGATCTACACTGCCCCTTCCGGATCAGGCCGGAGGTCCGAGTGATGCGTGGGCGTGACGCAAACTGCCATCTGCTCAGTAACCGCGGCAGCCATCATGGGTGAGGGGCAGGTACCACCGCATTCAGTGCAGAGTGCGGACTCACACCATCATCAACGGAACAGGGAGGAGTGCAGAAAAATCCAGTTCAGTATCTGGAAATCTCTTTCAAGGGACGCAAGAACAGAGACAACACCAGGGCTGCAAGGAACCTTGCAAAACCGAAAGAAAGTTTCCTGCACAGTCCAAAGGAGAGAAAAGCTCAGTGGAAACTTCTCTGACCCCCTCAGGATTCAGGACGAAGCAGCCCATGTGCAGTACAAGTTTGACTAGCATAAGGCAAACTATAGATGCCTTAGTGGGACTGACATCTGCCCAGAGTGATGGAGAATTATCAACAGCACAACGCCAATGTGTGAATACAAACAACTACCTCACTAGGCCCTCTCAGGAAAGCTAGTCCAGAAAAATAAGGTGAGAATGGAAAATTTACTGGAAGATACGGAACGCAAGCAGAAGCTAAAATCTCAGAGGAAATATCGGATCAACGGGGAAAAAAAACAACTTAATGGCAGAAGTAATCAAAAGAAGCTTTGTGGGAGGAAAAGCATCCCCTATTCTGCAGGTAGAAAAGGGTCCCTGTTGCCTAAAGGAAGACCCACACCAAGGCCACCAAGGCACGCTCTGCTGGCGGCTTAAAGCATAATATAAATAAAACTCCTTTACCACTAGGCAGGGGCGGGGGAAGGGCACACCTGATGATAGAAGAACCACTGGGGCTACAGTGTTTCTGCAACAGCAGCCTCCAGACAAACTCCAGGACACCATGGAGTGCGGGGTAGGGCTGCGGTCAGGGTCATCATAGCTGTTGTTCCATCTCATTTGTGTGATGGAAGGGACTAGTGTCCATCGTAGCCATCTGCCCTTCATGCAAGGGTCCTGAGCCTGTGCTGTTGTGCCCAACAGAACCCCTCAAAGGAGAACATCATTGGAAACCAGCAAGCCCAGGAACCACAAAACCTAGAGCTAAGTCAAAATAGTTGGTTATGGTGAAAAAGTTCCAAAACCCCATGAAATGGCAAATAGTAATTTTGCATTAATGACGCTAAAAATCCAGGGAAGCTGGAGTGTAAATCTTGAGTGTCAATGGCAGAGACATTTAAGCAACGGCTGCACATTAAAGAGACAAGAGTCGAGTAGGCAGCAAAGAAGTGCCAAGAGCCAAGAGTACCCAATAGGATGTGGAACATGAAGTCAACCACTAACGGCATAAAGAGCAACCTTC